CAAGCAGGCACTGCGGGGGGAGAACAACAAGCACCACGCCCCCCCCGCCCCCCCTCCCCAAGCAAAACGTGAGGTGGAAAGGGAGGGCGAGGGCGGTGGGAAGGGCAGACGTCAGTCCCGTGCCTGTGGTAGGTAGCTTGGTGCACGGAGGTGTAAGTCATCGGCACATTCATACAAATGCCTCGATTGATTGCATCAGGATGGCTTCAGTGGCTCGCGCTGCCGCCGTCGGCACTGCTCTCGCGGGCCCGATTGAGACTGTCACGGCACAGAGAAAGTGATATACAGCCGCCGCCTCACCCACGGAGCACGCTTCGCACACGCACAACACACACGCCCCGCCCCAGCCAGGCGGCAGCGCGGTCTAGGGCAGCACAGGTGCAGGCGAGGTGATCGGTTGTAAACACGGCGCCTGTGTTTTCGCTGCCCGTCAGCACCGCTATTTTTTGGGAAAAACGTTGGATGTTTGTGGCTGAGACGACCGTCGCTCTTTGGCCGTGCCTGTGGCAAGAGATCGTTCGTTCGGCGCGGCGGGAAAAGGAACGCGCCGCCGGAGGAGCGAGGGCCCGTCTCGGCCGCCGTGCAGGGAGACTGAAGTACTAGCGGGGCTCCCAGATACGGGAAGGAAAAAAAAAAGGAAAAAGATAAATATACACACATACAAAAAAAGAGGGCAGAAAGAACGATAAAGGACAACGCAGAACACGTCGCTGGTGGCAGTGCCCTTGCAGATGGGGACGGCAACCGTATGCCATGCGACGCCGGCAATTATGTTCAGTAGCCGTTACATGACCTTTGTAGGCCTTGACACGCACCTCCCCGTGTTCCCGTTGTCGCGTTTGTTGCCCTTTTTTGTCTGCCTGTTTTATTTACGGAGGGGGTCTTCTCTGCGTGCTCGTGCCTGTCCCCAAATCTTTCGTGCCTCCCTCACGCCCCGATGTCGGACTCGTCGACGCCCATCGAAGTCACATCCTCCGCAAGCTGCTCCAGCTCCGCCGCCTTCTCCGCCGTGAAGGTGTTGACGGTGGTGTCCAGCTGCGCGTTCAGATCGCGCAGCGCGTTTTCGTCGATGCTGGCGTCCTGCAGCGCCTTGGTGGCGTGCGTCCGCACCTGCTTGGTCTTCTGCTTGAACGCGGCTATCACCTGCTGTATCTCGGCCACCGCCTTGTCGCGGCGTCCGGTCGTCACGGGCGGCATCACCACCTTAATCTTCTGCTGCTCCTTCGTCACATGCAGCGTCGCGTCAAAGCGGGTCACGCGGTGCAGGACGGGGCTGGCGAAGCTCGCGTTCTGCGGGACGATCTCAACAGTGGAGTTGCTCGTCTTCACAACCTGCGCCACCTTCGTGAGGAGAACCTTGCGGCCGCCGCCAACATCGACCTCTAAGAGCTCCAGGCACTTGGCCATGTTTAGCACCTTCATGGCGCACACGTTCGCCCGCTCAAAGTGTTGCATAAAGATGTGCTCGAGCTCGTCCGGGACGTCCGCCTGGATGACCTGCTCCGCCTCCTGCAGCAGGTTCTCCCGCGCCAGCTTCAGCTCACGGGACTTCCCCGTGCGGCGCTCGGCACGCTCCTCGAAGGTCAGGCGGCGGGACTCGCCCCGGTCACTGCGCCGCTGGTCCTTCTGGCCGATGCGAGTAGGAGCAAAGGCGAGTGCGCCGATGCACCGAGTGGCCGCAGCGGTGAGTGTCGCGGGTTGGCCCCAGCGCCGCGGCCACGTGGCGCGTCGGCTGCAGGAGGACAAAAGAGCCGGCAAAGTCAGAGCGCACCGCATTTAGCCCCTTCCGACGACAAGGGAAGAGAGGGAGGGGAGGGAAAGAAAGAAAAAAAAAAGAGAGGAAAAAAAAAACGCTCCATAGAGGAGAAAAATAACGCCGCAAAGCGTGCCCACAACGTTCGGAGGTGTGCCACCTTTTTTCCCGCCCCTCCCCACACAGAAAGCGGACCCGAGTGTTTTCACTGGATATGTGTTATCGATGTTTCTCACTTTTTTTTTCCTTTCCACTGCTGCGCCGCCTCGTCATCCCCTCGCTTCTCTTCCCCCTTCCACGTGCGTGGCCCTCGCCACCGCCCGCCCAAAGCGTTCAGTTAACGGCCCTACACGCCTCACGTGGGGGTGGTGGGGGAGACGTCGCCGCCTCGCGTCTGCTTCTTTGCCCTCTCTTCCTCTTCTGTTTAAGTTACCCACGCGGTGGCTCACATGTCCCGTTCGTTTATTTACTTATTTATCTCCATCCTTCGTCGGCGGATGGCTTCCTCGCCTCGCCTCGCCCTTCTTTTCAGATCCCGCTTCGCTTACGTCGCACGGCCTCTTCGCACCCGCCGCAAGACTTTTCCGCGCCGACGGAAGACGTTCACTCCGCCGCCCACGCGCCTGCCTGTGGGGCGCATCCACGCGTACTCAGACAGACAGGCGCCCTCTCTCCATCCCTCTTCACCAGCGGCGGCGGTTCTGCCTATTCTTCTTCTTGTCGGCCAGGGCGGCAGCGGCGGCGGCGGCGGCGGCGCGTTCCTGCGTCACGGAGTGTGGCGCATAAAACACAGAGAAGACGTCGCCCAGGAGTGGCCGCAGCAGCTCACTGATATCCATCATGAGCTCCGGGCTTTGTTTTGTGACCCACACCTCCAGCAGGTACGCGCGATCCCGCACCTTCAGGGCGACGCCGTTCACTGTGTCACGCACGGACCTGGACCACGACTCCCCGATGGTGCGGCAGAGCAGGTACACCCACGCCTCGTTGATGCGGCTGGAGTCTAGTTTGATCTTCAGAATGCCGCCGTCGCGGTTGCCAGGGTCCTCCCACTTTGGATTGATTCCGTCCCGAAAGAAGTACAGCGTGCTAATTGTCATCTCCGTCGGTCGAGGGACGTTGTTGAAGACCTTCCAGAAGGTGGCCACGGAGTCGACGCGAAACACGAGCGTTGGGTCGTACGTGTTTTCCCGGATGCACTCGCCCAGCCCAGCAGGCAGGTAGAAGAGACACCAGAGATCCGCCAGCGGCATTTCGCCCGTCGCCGGTGTGAGCGAGAAGGGGGACGGCTTGCTGATCATCACGCGGTTCAGCGTGCGGCGGGGGACAAAGGCCGCCGCGCCCACTTTGAGGGAACTGCGCTTACTAATCTCTAGAATTTCCTCCTCGGTTTTTTCCACATGAATCGGGGCGGCAATCGGCGTAAAACTGGCCTTCACTGCCGGCGACGTCACTTGATGCGTGACGTTGTTCCTCGTGGAGGTGGTCGTCCACTTCACGCCGGACGGCGACCGGCCCTGCTGTCTCTGCAGGCGCTCCTTCTCCTCCGCGATGTCGGCCGTCGACGTTGGAAGTGGGGCGAGTGAATTGGCACCGGCCAAGTGCGGAATAAAGTCCTTGGCGTTTGGATTCATGTCAGATACCACGGGAGGGTAGGGCGCGTGCATCGGGCTCATCCGGGTGGGAAGGCGCATTGCCGTTGTGGGGCTGCGCAGCGGCAAAGCACCCGCCGTGCTTGGGGACGGGGCGTACGGCTGGCTGTTGGCCCCAGCGGGGCTACTATGCATCCTCACCGGCGGGGCCGTGGGCAGGGAGGTCGCCAACCCATGCATGGGCACCGGCGCGGCGGCGGGGTTCGCAGCAGAGGGCCGCTTGCAAGCCCACGAAGGAATGTACTCCTTCACGTCTGCCTTCAGCAAGGAGGACATGCGGGCGTTGGTTGGGCTTGTGGTGATGTGGAGTATAAGCAAGTGTGTATTCCTGGCCTGAGCCAGCGCCCCTGCTTGTTTATTTCTACCGCGCGACTGAATTCCACTTCACCCCCAAAAAAAGGCAGGGGCGCAAGGAACGGCGAGCTCCGCTGGTGGGCCTTCGCCGGTGCGTTTTGTGCGTCCGTGCTTGTTCCTTCCTTCCTTCCTTGTTTCTTCCTCGTTTACTAACTCGTCCCAGTCTCTGTTTTTTTGTTTGCTTGTTTTTTTTTTGCTTTGCTTGCACCGTCCCCTTGGCCGCGGCGGCGGTGCTTGCGGGAGAGGCAAGGCAATTCTTATTTCTTTTTTTAAGGCGATGATGGGCCCTCCGCTTCGTGGAGCCACGCGTGTCTGGGAGCGACTGTGTTTTGTCTGCGTCACGTTCGGCCCAACGGCTTCTCCCCACGCGGGCGGCGGCAACAGCACGAGAGGCGGGGGGAAGAAGGCAAGGGGGAAAGTGAGGGAATTGGGCGGCAGGACGAGGGGCGGCGCCCGCCGCACACACACACACACACACACACAGGGAGAGGGAGAGAAAAAAGAAAGGCGCACACGTGAGACTCAACCACCAGCAGCACCGCCGGCCCCGTGCCTGTCTGCCTGTTTATGTTCTTCTGCTGCT